AAAGTACTTTAAAACAATATAAAAAAGTTTTTTATGAATTGTGTAACAGATCTACAAATGATGTGACGGTTCCCCCTGTTTGTGCATCCTCATTTCCAGTTTGGGATTCTAAGTTCAGGGTTACTGTTACCGTTACCGTAGGACCGTTACTAACGTAATGAACTATAAGATGAATGTACGACCATTTCTTACTAAGAAAAAATGTCTTCTAATATTGAATATTTTAAAAAATTTTCTACTAAATATCCAAATCCTTTTAATTACTAGATTCGGCTAGGAACATTTACATATGATAAGTATGTAGAGCATATGGACTATAAATAATGACTTTCCTAAAAAAGAACAACTTCTCAAGGCAAAATGTGACTGGGTAATGGTACGTATCTTTTTTTTGTTTTAATAATGTCGGAAATGTATATGATTAGAACGTAAAATTTGCAAGCTTGCATAAAGTAAATGCCATAGCAGATAGCGAATAGATTTTATTGTATACGTACAGTACGTACCTATGAGTAATTAATACTTCTGAGATATCCGAAAGAATATTGTCAATGGTAGGGCTTGAAAAACTACGCGTCAAGTAAGATCCGTGCCAGAGTCTGAAAGACTATTTGTAAAGTAAGATTCGAAAAAGACATATCTCATGAGGTAGGGTTTGAAAGACTGCGCGTCAAGTATGATCCATGTCAGAATCTGAAAGACTATGTGTCAAGTAAGATTCGAAGAAGACATATCTCATGAGATAGGATTTGAAAGACTGCGCGTCAAGTATGATCCGTGTCAGAATCTGAAAGACTAAGCTCAATTAAGGTCCAAAGGAATGCATTTAAGATCTGAATAGGCTTGTACCTTATGATTGCATGTTGGAGACTCGAACAAATTTATAAAATAACAGTTTACAATATTAATTAATGATATCCAATATATATATATGTATATATTTTTAGAATAAATATAAATCTATTCTTCAAGATTGGTGGAAAATCCCAAAAGAATTTCACGAAATAATTGCGAAGTTTTCTGACAATTATAATGATCATGATAATAATTTGAACGAAAAAGTAATTAATAACGATGAAGATAATTATCATTCGGAGGATAATGTTGATGATAATATTGGCGAGGAAGATTCGGTTGCTTCAGTTGATGACATAGGAGATTCCACAAGCGAGGAATCTGAAGATTTTTCTTTAGTAGAATTTAACAGCTATGAGATTAAAAATAAAATCTCAAACGTAAGCTTACTATGATATTTTGTTAAGTTAAATTGAATAAAATTAATATTTATTTTGCTAGCTCATAACGATATATCCATGCATGCCAACAATTATGAGGATAACATACAAAATGAAAAATTAGATCCACAAGATTTACTTTCTAATGGCATAGTTAATCATACTTTTTTACAAAAGTACCATAAGCGATTGTTTGATCTCATTATGGATCAAGACTGTTTGAACGAATTAATGTGGAATAAAGCTGAACGACGCCAGTATAAAACGAGGTTGACGGCTGAGGAAGAAAATTTTATATGCAATCATATTAAGTATGGGTACTGTACTGCATCTAATAGTAGAGAGGACGCCAAAAAATTTTATAATTGCCTAGAAATGTTTTTGACCCAACTGGAATATGTGTGGGAACTACCTTTATATAGACAAAAATCTCCAAAAATTACCGAATATTCATATTCGCACCAAGTAGTTAAATCCATTTGTGATTTACTATTGTATAACATTAAGGGGATCGATGTCGAATATAATGGTTATTATCATTTTTTCGTTTGTAAATTTTTGTTAAAGATTTTAATTTTAATTTTTTTTTTTTCTGTTGATTAAACAATAAGGGCCATCTGAATCTACCCAAAATCGGAACGGAGGACAGTCTGGGCCAACACATTGCCCAGACTTAATGGTATCTAAGAGTTTTAGATCACCTAATCATAAATGGGAATTCATGTTTTGTGAAATAAGCTATGGTCCATATTCATTTAATTGGAAACATTATTGGAAAGATGAATTACGACTCGGAAAATTTTCGAAAGACTCTTGTAACTATAGATGCTGGTGAAATTAATTTCACCAATTTCACCAATTCACCACCAATTTCACCAATAGTGGTGAAATTATTTCACCACATTTCACCATATTTCACCAGCATCTATACTTGTAACAGTGCATATTTTTTTACTCAGGGGATCGATGCCTCGGATCAATTATTAAAAGACATGATGGATGAACTAAACCATGTGATGATGCATTTTTATGAAAGAAAAATATCTTGGATCGTAAGATGAAACCGTTTTATCGAATGCGCCTGGTAAAGTCATTAGAGATACCACTTATAAACAGCAAAGAACGAAAGACAATACGGATGGTAAATAAATTATGTAAAGGAATATTAATGGCAAACAAATTAATAGTTGATATTTTTAGAAGAATTCAATCTATTAATCAATTGTTACTCGAAAAGAACAGTCCTACCACTCCTCCAAATCTAGTAGATTGTGATAACTTACTTCCGACATTTATAACACCTGATGGGCCAGTTTATTAAATTCGGGTGGGATAATGACATGATTTATGGATTCTACATTATTTCACATACAATAAAGTTTAAAATGCTATTAAGAAGCTTTTAATTATGTTTTAAATTGATCCTGAAATATCATCCTGTTATCCCGTATAAATTCTATTTTACCATCATTGCTTGTTTCATGAAAGTTCGTAGATATCCTAAATCAATGAAACACAATTGATGATTGTCTGAATTTCAAAATTCTTTTGTCTTCATTAATTAGTAACCAAACATCAATGGTTAATTATAAAATATCGCGTAAAAATAAAAAAATGATGAGCATATACTTAATGATATTCAAATTAATGGAAAGAAATCAAATCTGATAGTATTTAACTCCAAATCTAAAGTTAGAGAAAGTTCTATTCTTTTTGGTAACAAAGAAATTAAAGAAGAAAAACCTAGTAGTATAACAAAAATGCTGGGTATATAGCTTAATTGCAAACTAAATGAAAAATATATACATGTTAAAGCTAAAGGGATAGTTAAACAAACAATAAAAATATTTAGATGGAAAAAATTAACAATTAGTCAATTAGTATATATGAACAATATATGCATTATACCTAAGCTATACTATCTTTTGCAATTAACAAGAGTTTCCAAAGCAATACTAGACCAAATTTATCAACCAATTCTTAGATTAGAAAAAAACAAATTAGACCTGCAAAGTATAGTATCTAACTATATAGTAATACATAGAAATATAGGCAATTTCAAGACATTAAATGCAGAGCTTACAAATAAGCAAATCACAAGTCTATATAATAGACTAAATGATGAAAGCAAAATTAGCCAAATCACTAAAATAAGAATTTGGCAAGGATATAGAATTGCAGGCATAACTAAAGATTTAGATGATGGAAAGAATAACATGAATATTAAGAAGCTCTGAAAATTCAACTAGGCAATACTAGTGCTGTGGAAAGCAGCAAAAATTAAAGTATCGATAAAACCAATGCAGGATAGCTGAAAGATAAGCAATATTGAAAGAATGATATGAAGCATGATAGAAGAAAAGATATTCATCCAATACAGTATACACAAGCAATAGAAGCACTCAATCTACTTTTTATTAAGCAACTATTAAATAAACAAGAGACCAAATAATTACATAGTATTATCTTAAAAGAGTTAAAATAGGTTATGTAAAAAGAAAACCCCTCATTGGTTTAAGGTACTAAAAGACTAAATTTTAAAAAATAAAGAATCAAGAATTCTTAAAACCAAGCTACGAGTAACAGGTATAAACAGGCTAGCTCTAATAATTAAGAAAACAGAAATTGAAAAAAATAAACAAAAACATGACTGGGTGCTAATAGATAACAAAGAAAATGAAGTAGATATACAAAGAGTTAAAGAAAAAAAAAAAGAAAGTCCAGACAGAGAAATAGTCTATTAGCAAAGAAGAAAATGAGAGAGCTATGATAGAAAAAGATGATACTTTAATTAAAGCTAATCCCCAAAATAAATGGATTAGAAAAAAAAAAGTAGTGGTAATATTGCAAGAAGTTAGAAAACAAGAAAAAGGCTAGTCAATAGACATGTTACAAAGTTTACTTAAAGAACTGAAAGTAAATAATAACAAGAATAAAGTAGATAAAATAGAATTGAAAAAGATATATAGCTCAGCTTAAGCAAGCCTGACAAAAGTAGTATATATAGATAGAATAGAGATAGATTTAGTTAAACAACAAAAATTTAGTATACAATGTAAAGAGTTTATATTAAAACAACTAAGAAAAAATATAAAATCTGAAAAAAAAACTTTAACCTTTTATATAGATGGTTCGCTTATTAAGAAAAAGATAGAAAAAGAGATTCTATGCAAACAAGGTTTTGGTTAGATTTAGATAAACGAAAATGAAAACTATAAGATTCAAGATGATTACTTTAGTACACAGTACTAGCCATCATCAACAAGAGTAGAACTAGCAGCAATCTGGGTAACTCTGCTTATAGCTCTATTAAATATCAAAGTTAAAATATATACAGATAGCATAGTAGCAATCAGTACAATTTATAAAAGAGAAAAAATTAAAACAAACAAAAAGTGGCTAAGACAAAAAATCTATAACTTAGTACTCAAAATCATAGAAACAAAACAAGTTAAGAATATAGAAATAGAACTTATCAAAATCAAAGGGCATAGTGAAAACAAGTGGAATGATGAAGCAGATCGCTTAGCAAAACTAGGGCTAAATGCACCAAAATTATATTTGCAAAATGTTGATACAAACTCAAGGCTTAGATATAATATTTTCTAGAACAGTAGCCTTATCAAGATACCAACAAAAAAATCTATCAAAGATCTAGAAGACACAATAATAGCAGCAGAGTGGAGAACTTCAAATATAGTAAAACAACTAGAAACAAGTAATGACATGCAAGAATAGGATTGGGGAAGTTTATGGAAAAGAATTAAAAGCCAAAGCAGAATTAGATATACATCAATCAAAAAGAGAAAAAAGCTAAACTTTTTAATCAAATGTCTATATGACAAACTTCTAACTCTAGACAATCTCAAAAAGAGAAGACCAGATCTATATAAAGAGAGTAACTACAAAGTTTGTAAACAAAGTATAAAAGAGACACAAGTATATCTGTCAAGTTGTGAAGCACAAGAAGTTCACTAGTTAGAAATAGAACAAGCAGCTATAGATACAATACAAGCTCTCATAAATGAAATTAAAGAACAAAAAAGATTATAGCTACTAAAGCTCCAAAATCTTATATTCAGAAAAAGCCAAGAAAAGAAAAAAGAAAGAAGAGCTAAATTTATTAAAAGCCTGTATAGAAGCAATATAGCTAAGAACTTGCAAAACCTAGACTTATCAAGAAAAGAAGCAAGTAAAGCTCTCAAAACAGTAGTATACATGGTATGAAACTGTTTTCATAAAATTATCTAGAGGTAGAGATGTGAAAAAGTAATAGAATGAGAGCAAAAAGAAAGAATTGCAAAAGAACAAAAATTGAGAAAAAAGGCAACCAACCAAAAAAAAAAGAAACAGTCAAGAAAAGAAAGACGTCCAAATCCAACTTGTTGCATATCTCTTAGCAAAGTCAGAGAATAGCGAACTACTTAAGGTTAAAAAAAAGAGATAAGAAAAAAATAAAGAAATAAATAGGTTAATAGAAAAAATGATTATTGATAGAGTATACAAAGGTGGAAAGCCATTATGGTGTAGCATTTAGGCTGATTTAACACAGCCTCTAATTTCTAAAATAGTCTTTAAATTAGTATGACAGATTGCACTTGGGCACCTATAGGAAGTAAACGAGTATACAAACTTATGTAATATACTTAGAATCTTAATAAAGTACTAGTGAAACTGCCTAAGTGAAAAAAAAAAAATATTTATAATATAAATAATAATTGCAATATAATAAGTAAAAAGTTTTTAATTATAATAAGCTATATGCTTGTTTTATATAATTAAACTTTTAATTTACAAAATTTATTAATATATTATAGTTATAATTAAATTTAAAAGTGTACTAGTTCTAGTATAGTAATATTTACAAAAAATACTTGATATAAAAAAAATTATTTTTTAATAATTTTATTAATAATATAAAAAAAAAAATTACATTAAACAATTTTTGAATATTTATCAGATTTTTGTAGATAAAAAAAATTAGAGTTTTTAATTTTTTAGATTTTTTATACTTTTTTAAAAATATACTAATACTAGTACAAAAGTATAAATCCAAACTATTAAATTTTAAAATTTAATATTAAATAACTTCTGATTTACTAAGCCAATTTAAATTATTTAACTACCAAAATAATCTTTTCAAAAAAAGAATTCTAACAATTACTAGATACTGAGATCAATCTAGATTTGTATATTATTATACTGTATATACTACTGTATATTAAATATATAGTACTATATAATAGTATACTATATAATAATACACAAATATAGGGTGTGGCGGTCTAGTGAAGTGGTCTAGTCGTCACCCCACCAAGCGGCAGGTCTAGAGTTCGAATCCCACAGACGACGTTTTTCGAAAAATAGATTTGCATTAGGTAACGATTATCCATTGATCGGTTGGATCTAGAAATCTGTAATCTTG